TTATTTAAATATTAATATGAATTAGAAAGAATTTGAGAAAAGGATAACTACCCCATTTGCAGAGGAATCATGAAGTGTGAAGAAAGTAAAGGATTGGATTCCTAGTTTGGCTCATGTGTTAAATGCAAAATGAAAGGAAAAGGAAAAAAGTACTAGACGATAGTATTTCCTTTTTCTTCTAAAGATATTCCGTGGTATTGAAGGGACCTATCCATCAATTGGGTATGGACTATGGCCATGCTTGAGCACTTTAATGGGTGGACCAAGACACAGAAAGAACTCCAACTTCAAAAACACCTTTAATTTCTGAACAATGGAAATTATCACTAAAATATAAAAACACCTTTAATTTATGAACAATGAAAATATCATTAAAATATAAAAACACCTTTAAATTATCACTGAAATATGTACTCCTTCTTATCAACTTTAGTATTTTTTTTATTTCAAAATAATAATAATTTTTTTAACTTTAAATTCATTTTAAATTAATTATTATTTTTTATTTTTTAGGATAGAAAAATATTTTTTCTTTAGTTTAACTCTATTATTGTTAAAATATTTTGATTAATTATCTTATCACAAAGTTTAACTTTATCTTTTAGTTTTTTTCTAAAAATAATATAAATAAATATATGAATTGTCTACAAATATTTAATTTGGAGAAAAAGTAAAAAAAGAACTATTATTTTGAAACAAAGGTCTTTATCCAAGATAACTGCGTTTTTTAACTTTAAATTTATTTCAAATTAACTATCTTTTTTTTTTTAATTTTTCAAGGTAGATAAGTACTACTTTCGTTCATTTTTAGTAAACTTAGTTTTTTTATCTAATAAAATAGAGATATAATAATTTATTGATAAAATTTTATATTTATTCCTAATTAATTGCTACTTAAATAAAACATTTTATTTAATATATATTATAATTATTTTTTTAAAATGAGAGTAAAATAAAAATAAATATATTAAATGACATATTAAAAAGAAAGAATAGACAACTAAATTTGAACGCCACAAATATAAAACTAGGTCTACTAAAACTAAATGAAGGGAGATATTTTTCCTACTTTATCCCTATCATTATTCACTTATTATCAAGATTTTTCGTAATATAATATCAATAAATGCATAAATGATTCTCAAATCTTTAATTTAGAGAAAAAGTAAAGAAATTTACTGTTATTATGAGACGGAAGAAGTATATGTAATTTTTAATTTGGGTATTCAAATTTAATTGTTTACTTTTCTTTTTTAAAAAAAATATCATTTAATGTGTTTATTTTTATTTTACTTTTATTTTAAAAAGATAATTATAATATATATTAAATAAAAGGTCTAATTTATGTTGCATTTAATTAAAGATAAATATAAAATTTTATTGATAAATTATTATATTTGTATTTTATTAGACAAGAAATTTAGATCTATTCCAATTAAACAAAGAAAATATATTTTAGTTAATGGCCAACAAAACCTAACCTATTTTTTAATCTAAATTGTAAAGTAAAAATTATTATATAAGGTAACATTTTTTAATATTAAAGGGTCTATCCTTATTTAATAATTTAAGTTGTGCAATTCTTTTTATAACTCATATTATATGTTATTGTCATATACTAATGTACATTTCTCAATAATAACATGAACTCTTGTCGATACAAAACAAAAATTAAAGGTTCATACAAACAACATAGCATTCCTATTCTCCCCCTTTCCTAAGAATTTTTTTTTTCTTTTTAAATTTAAAAGAGAGATTAGGCAATATATATAATTATATCTAGCATCAACAACTAAAATAATTATACAACTTAGTTGATTGAGTGAGCAGTGTTTTGTGGGGTCCTTTGGAGGCTGACCAATGAGAAGTAAGCTCCAGTGGGTCCCTTTGCCAGCAAGGACTGGTGGGTCCCTTTCTCCACCACCTTTCCTTTGTCGAGAACAGCAATAAGATCACAGTTTTGTATGGTACTCAGCCGGTGGGCCACCACCACACTCGTCCGCCCCACCATAACACGCTCAAGTGCGTCCTGTACCACCTTCTCCGATTGGCTATCCAGCGCACTAGTCGCCTCATCCAGCAACAGGATTGCTGGGTTTTTCAGTATGGCCCGGGCTATGGCAATCCTCTGCTTTTGCCCTCCTGATAGCTGCACTCCCCTGTCCCCACACCACGTACCATACCCGTCTTTTAATCCCGAGATGAAATCATGGGCGTTGGCTGCTTTAGCCGCCTCAATGATCTCGGACTCGTCCACTCCATCAGACGCTCCATATACAATGTTTTCCCGGATGGTGCCAGCAAATAATGTGGGCTCTTGGCTGACAAGTGCAATGTGTTTCCTCAGTGACCTGAGATGATATGACCTTATATCTTTGCCGTCGATTTTGACAGTTCCTTTGATGGGATCATAGAATCTCTCAATCAATCCAATGATCGTTGACTTACCGGACCCACTTTGTCCAACCAACGCTGTTGATTTGCCTGCTTCGATGTTAAGTGAGAAGCTTTTGAAGATAACCACATTGGGCCTGGCTGGGTATGCAAAATCTACATCCCGGAGTTCGACATGGCCTGTTATTTTTTTGGGCTTGTACCCTTCGGGATCTTCGGGCTCAATACTCGTGTATCGGTCCAATACCGCAAAGACAGAACCAACTGCATCCGACCCCTTGGCGAGGTCCGAGGTCATGCTTCCGGCGTCGGCTATGACACGGCCGGTGCTGACAAGGATCATGAAGGTCTCAAACAACTCCTTTGCATTGATGGCGTGCTTGGAGATGAGTCTGCCACCATACCAAAAGTCTAAAGCCCAAGTGCAAGACATAAGGCTTTGAGATGTTCCAAGCCCAATCCCTGCAAACCAAGATTGTCGGATATTCTCTCGTCGTGGACCTTCTTGGGCCTTTTCAAGCATTTTCAGGATACGCTCTTGGGACGAGAAAGCAGTGATGGTTCGGAGGTTGGAAACAGCCTCCGCAGCGAGCTTGCCGCTCTCATCCTGGGCTTTGATTGCCTTTTCAGACAGTTTCTTTAGCAGGACACGTCGGACGTAGAAACAGACAATAATGAGGGGCTGGACAGCAATCATGACAATTGCAAGCTTCCATGCAATGATCAGCCCCATGGTGCAGGCTATGATTACTGCTGAAAAGGTTTGCACTACGAGAGCCATCCTGTCACCCACTAAAGATCTCACCTGCCATTACCAAAATCATAGCAATGTCAAAACCCACTACGTTCTACCCATTTTCATGTATATCCATATATTGTTCCCATTTCTTGAGTTTTAGTGGTGATAACTTGTCAATGACGTCCTGATACAGTAGTTAAAAGAATCTAAAAAAAGACTAATTTAAGATA